GAGGATTCAGGGAAGACTTCCTGGGGAAGGTGGGGGGGGGTTGAACTGAGAGGTGAAGGATGTCATGGACCAATCAGGAAGAAGTTGGAAGGATATCCAGATAAATGTATGCAAAGGTCAAGCGTTGTCTTAGTCACTGTTCTGTTGCTGTGAAGACACCATGACTGTGGCAACTCTTTTTTTTTTTTTTTTTATCCCCTTTGGTTTTTCGAGACAGGGTTTCTCTTTGGAGCCTGTCCTGGAACTCGCTCTTGTAGACCAGGCTGGCTTGGAACTCCAAGAGATCTGCCTGCCTCTGCCTCCCAAATGCTGAGATTAAAGGAGTGTATCAGTGTGTCCCAGCTGTCCAAATTCTTAATCAAAAAGTCTCTGAAACAGAATTTACACACAGATGAAGCCATCGCCCTCAATGCTAACAGGGAGCGTGGTAGCGGGCAGGTGTGGTGCTGGAGGAGTAGCTGAGAGCTACACCCTGAGACAAAGCGAGACTGGCCCTGCCATGAGCTTTTGACACCTCAAAGCCCACACCCCACCCTCCCCTGTGGAATGCTTCCTCCAAACAGTCCATACCTCTTTTTCTTTAAGGGGGAGGGGTGTTCATGACAAGGTTTCTTAAAATTATTTCTATAAAGATTTTATGTATATGAATGCTCTGTCTGCATGTACAATTTTATGCCATCAGAGGGCCTCAGATCCCACCGTAGATGGTTGTGAGCCAACATGTCGTTGCTAGGAATTGAACTCAGGACCTTTGGAAGAGCAGCCAGTGCTCTTAACTGTTGAGTCATCTTTACAGACCCCAGACAGGGTTTCTTTGTGTAGCCCTGGCTGTCCTAGAATTCGCTATGTAGATCAGGCTGGCCTTGAACTCCTGCCTCTGCCTCCCAAGTGCTGGGACTAAAGGCGAGCGCCACCTGGCTAAGACTATACATCTTAATCTTTCTAGTCCTTTTAAAGAATTCCACTCCCTGGTGACCAAGCATTCAAATATATGAGCCTGTGGGGCCATTCTTCTCAAATTGAGGGAATCATTTCTGCATGGTGGTTCTTCTGAACAGAGGTGGTCATGTAGGGGCTGGAGAGATAGAGCTGGCTCAGCAGTCAAGAGCATTTGCAGGTCTTACAGAGGACCCAGAGTCTTAGTTACCATTCTGTTGCTGTGAAGAAAGACCATGACCAAGGCAACTTATAACTGGGGGCTTGCTTGCAGTTTCAGAGTGAGTCCTTGACCACCAAGGCATGAACTTGGCAGCAGGCAGGCATGGCACTGTAATCGCAGATGCGAGATTTTAAATTTGGTCCACAAGAAGGAAACATAGATAGAGCTAAGTGCCTGGTGTGGGCTTTTGAAACCTGAAAGCCAACCCACATGTCCTCCAACAAAACCACACCTCCTGGTCCTTCCCAAATAGTTCCACCAACTGGGAACCAAGTATTCAGTATTCAAACATATGAGTCTGTAGAGGCCATTCAAACCACCAGGCCCCAGCTCAGCACCCGTCACCCAGAAGGGCTCAAAACCATCTGCAAACAGGGGATCCAAAGCCCTTTTCTGGCCTTCATAGAGGGGTCGAAGGGAAACTCACGTTCTGATTGGACAGGCAGGTGTTGGGAAGAACCAAGACATTGGGTCCTAGGCCCCTGTGTAGCAGGCCTGCTATCTCCTGAGTGCTTCGGAAAGGACTTAAGAGGGGAGGAGCTGAGCTATAGAGTTGAAAACTCCCTCTGAATAGCAAGTAGCGTCCAAGACTGGGGACTGAGCCATGGGGGGCTCTGAGACATTATAGAGGGGCCGCCTCGGGGGAACCTAGTGGACATAGGGCCATAGGTGCTAACACTCTTGAAGACAGAGGAGAAAGGTGACTCAGACAAAAGCCAAGACTCTGGCCTGGCAACTTTCAAGGCCACGCCTAACTGCTGACAAGGAAGAACAGGTGACACACACCACGCCGCACACCCCCACACAGGCCATTTGAGACGTAAAGCCAAGGCCTCCCTGAGCCATTGAACCATCCATTTCTCGTGGGCACTCCCTTCCCAAACCCACCTTAACCTTTTCAAATAAAACAAACAAAACCACCGAAACTGTTATTTGGCTGTGGTAGTCTATAATTAGAGTTCTTGGACCAGGGCAGACAGGAGAGTCATGAGTTCAAGGCCAGCCTGCACACACACACACACACACACACACACACCTGTAAAATGGGACATATGAGAAGGTCAGAGGAAAATCTGCTGGAATCAGTTCTCTTTCCACTATGTGGGACCTGTGGGGCCTGAGGATGAAATAATTCAGGTCATCAGGCTTATCAGTGCCTTTAGCGGCTGAGCTATCTTAAAAAGAAAAAGAAAATCAGTACATTTATGTAGAACCCTAACAGATGGCCAGACGGCCACAGGTAGGGGAGCTACAACAGAATTACTAGATTCATCCCTTCCCCGTGCACTAGGCTGGCCAGGCTCCTCTCACTGTTCTGAGCCCGGCTCTTCTGCACAGGGGCCCAGGGATAGCCAGTGACAGCAAGAGTAGATTTCCACTTGCAGGAACAGTGCTGAGGCCCACACAGTGATCCCCAAGTTCTCATCCCCATTTAACAGATGAGAAAACAGAGGCCCACCTACAGGTCCTAGAGCCCTCTAAACCCCAGGAACTGGTGCAGGTGCTTCGGGGTCTCCTTCTACAGGACTCGACGGGAACTTAGCTCCATAGCCAAGCTAACTAGGGGCATCCTGAGTGCCATGTCTCATGCCCAGTGCAACTGGACACATCTGGAATCCCCATACCCCAGGGGCTCAAAATCCACTGGGGATGATGGCCCCCTGGCAACTTCAGACACAGTTCTTGTCTAGTGCCTAGGTCCATCAACGGATGTACCACTGCGCCCCTCATGGTGGCGACCTCTAGATGGCTCTGCATTCTCAGTGGGTGACAGGGCCCATGACCATT